ATGACGGCGGAAAGAAAGTTGTGGATAAAAGTGCAACAATGTGCAAGCATTATGCAACACATTTTGTTTATGATAACAGCAACATGACCAACATGTCAGGCTAACAATGAACATATACCGAACCCAACCGAAAACCGTGACCACGAACCACGTGACCACGACCACCGTGAACCGAACCGAACCGTGGATTTTGTGAACCGTTCCACCGCTAGTGCAGACCACGCTTCAATATTAGGCATAAGTCAGGCATATTAGGCACAAACTCACTGCGACACACTGCTGCGGGAGGATAACAAGCTCTTAAGCCATGGTGAGGGCAGCAGGAGACGGACAACGTCCATTAAAGAGAAATTGTCTTAATGTCACGTTTCTGTTTCTTTTAGCTTAAGTTAAAAGTCGTTTTTTTAATGTAATAAAGTTTTAATTAAAGTCCATTCAACCTTTTTAGATCCAGTCAATTAAACCTTCCTCCATTTTTGTCTATTAAGCATATTTTACTTTTAGAAAAAGAAAACCACCTAAGAATATTGCTTTCCACTCTATGAAAGTTAGACATAGCTGAATTGTATTTCAAGTCATTTGTTGTGATCTTTTAAAGTGTCAAGAAATATTTTTTGGATTGGAAAACAAGGTTTCTGTCAAACACTATGGTTCTTTTTTAAATGCAAGTGACAGAAAATAAATAATACCTGGAATCACTTCACACCCCAAAGAAGAAACCTCAAAAGGTCAGAAAGAGGAACAGTAGCACTAAGTGGTTGGTGTACTGCAGCAAAGCAGATTGTTAATTCATTATCTTCCTCAAAATTCACCAGCTGCTTCTTTGGTATCTGCAGCTACATTTGGACATTTTTACAGCTTACATGTGTTTTTGATTGAACTTTTCTATAGTAGCATGAAGTGCTGATGCTGCAGTTGATGGCAGCATGATGTAATGGGGAAAACAGGAAAGAAAACTGCAGCTCAGCAAAACCTAAAATTAGCTCTCATATTGAGACAATATAATACTGACTGTCTTTGTAGACATCGATCTAATTGTTGGATTACTCATGATGCAAGATAGAGTCAAAATGTTAAAGTAAGCTTGTCTCAAGAAATAAACAGCTTCTCTTCTTGCCTTTCATCAATCAAATGCTTGGTTACATAAACAGTCCCAGTTCCTGAGAATTTCATTGAAACTTCCACTGCCTGTAGTGATTATAAATCTTTTATGTGATTAAAGACTAATCAATTAAAGACCTTAAGTGAAGGTTCTTTGTAAAACCTGGTTGTGATTTTTCTTAGCCACTTCCAGCTTAAGCAACACTGGTCTTTTTATAACTGTGTTACCAGCTCCCACATTTTTTCCTCCTCAACGAATACCATAGTCTGGTAAAGAAAAACAGCTGTGGACACTGGAGAAAGATGAAGTGTCTTTTCAGGCTGCTGCTGTGCTGTTAGAGGTGGCCACTAAGACGTAGCAGGCAGAGCACTGAAACACTGACGATGGTGTTTTGGCTGTTTGCCTCGGACGGTGCTGTGAAGCAGGAAGTTTGACGCTGAAAGCACAGGAAGTGGCTGATGTGGAGCTGTGCTCCCCTTTTCTGTCCAGCGGCTATAGGCTGAAGTCAGGTCATTTTTAAACAAATGGTATTTTCTCTCTGATGGAATGAGGACTGAAAAGCGGAGGGCATACTGACGGTTTTTGTGCAGTGTAATATTTAATGATATAATGAAACCTCAAACATGGTCAAAAAGTAATACATTTCTCCTGGAAAAAAAAGGGAAGCGGTGAAGACCATAGGGTCAGGACAGAAGCAGAGAAATTACCTTACCGTTTTTTTTTGTTTTTTTTTTTTAAATAAAGCTTATAGTTAGAGTGGCTCAGGTTATCCTGAGCTATCTCTATAGTTATGCTGCTATAGGCTTAGACTGCTGGAGGACATAGGGA